GTGAATTGCAAGCTGTCTGGGCAGTGATTCCAGCTCTCCTGGGCTTGTATGGTTCGCCGTCCAACAGGGCCTCTGTACCTGCTAGCAATCACAAACGGTGTCCGCAGAGGAATGTTCACTTAGCTGCACGATAGATTTTTCAGGCAGAAGATGGGTATGTATCATTTACTGGAGGCCATTAGAAACCCAGGCTTCCTTGCTGTGCCGCAGTTCCTGTAATTTGCAGCGTGATTTCTTCACAACCTGCTCTCTTCTTCTTCTTTTTTTCTTTTTTTTTTTTTTTATTTCTAAGCAAACTAAAGTTCTGCCATGGTTGGAACAAATCCGCGTTCATTTTAGAATAGCGTTTAAGGAGAGGTAGTAAAGCAGAGAATTACTTATTTAGAATAACGGCACTGCAGGCACGTGCTTCTGCTGGCAAAATGCTTTTTTCTCCTAACCTGCATCAGCTCCGTGGTGCCTGAATTCAGCATAAGCCTGCCGTGCTTCACCTAAAGCTTGCTCTTGCAGAAGTGGTACGAGTGGCTGCGGTGCAGTTGTGTGTAGGCATAAAACTGGTTCTTGCCTTTATACTTGAGTGACTGCTTGTCAATGGTAAGCAGACCTAGAGAAAATGCATTCCCAGGGTCCTACTTGTATTAGGGTACAGGGAGAAAGGGGCAGTTTCCACTAGTACAGGTTGACTTTATCTCTCCTAGAGGAATTCACGTATTAACCATTTCGCTCTTAATTCCTGAGGGTGTTTGATGCTGGAGAACAAACCTGGGAGGTGGGATGAAGATCTGTCCTCTACCTGTGGACAGCCTCTTTTGTTGGTATTGCCAATGCAAGTGCAGTCCCACAACCTGTCCTCAAATGAATCCCTGTCGGTGCTAGTGCATTACTGATTGCTCCACGGCCTTGGTCTTGGAGCCTAGTGTGAGCTCCTAAATGGAAGATTTATTACGAGTTCTTTCAGGTCTTGAGTCGAGGAGAACAGACATCCTCTCTCTGGGCTTATCATTCTTTGTGCAATTTTCTCTGAATTAAACATCTCTGTCATGTGACAGTTCTGCAAGTGTTGTTTTTTTTTTTTTTTAAAGTCAGTTCTGTGAGAGATTTTTCAAGGTCCTGATTGTTCTTACTCTTTTCTTTGATCTTTCTGTGATGTGGCCTTGCCTTTGATATTACAGATGAGGTCATGCCATCAACTGATGCAGTGGCATGAGCATGTTCTCTGTTCTAGCCCTTTCCTTACACGCCTGAGCGTCTTGTGCAGCTTTGATTGGCACAAGACAGCACGAACTCCCAAGTCTTAACAGGTACTGAGATATGAGCTAAGCATCTTATTACTTCTGAGGACAAAAAGAAGTCCCATATTGTTCCTGGAAAAATGTAAGAGAATAAGCCCTGAAGTGGGAACTAATGCATTTTGCGGTATGGGAGACAAGTGCCTGGGCTACATAGAGTTCTCGCAGGAAGGTGTTGCATCAGTTAGCTTTAAGAGGCTGAAAATAAGCTTTTCAAGATTTCGAAGTGGATCTGCCAATTACGGGATTATGCTCTTGATATGTATTTAAATTTTCCCTGCTAGAATGAATTGCTACGTGGATCCATCATCACTCCTACCTTTACTTGATCTCTGCCTCTGCGTGTGCATTGACTCAAATTTAGGAATTACATTTCTGTGACGATGGAAAAACGCTTTGTGATAGCTACAATTAGCACTTTCTTTTTCTGTGGGGAATTTTTAGAAGAATAGTAGGCGTCCATCGGGAGGAGGAAACCAGGGGAAGGACCCACATCATTTCTTGCAGTCTGTGCCTGCAGTTTTCTTTTGGAGTGCAATTAACACTCTGTGTGTGTGCACGCATGTGTGTAATGAGGTAAATGAGACAACCACTGGGATTTCCTACTGAATGCATGTGCAGTATTTTTCCTAAATCTTTCTCCAACATATTTAATACTAACCTTTATGAAGGTGGTGGTTTGTTTGGTTTTTTTCTTTTTTTTATGTATATTGAGCATTTCAGTATCTGGAACTAAGATTAAATTGCCTTTCCACTACAATTTATAGAATTTTCACTTCATAAACTAACTCTGAATAACTTTTGCCTGCTTCAGTTAGCTTCATAAGGGAAAAAAAAAAGAGCAAAAAAAAACCCCCAAACCCCAACACAAAAACAGCAAAGCACTGTTAGGTTCTCCCCTCCACCCCTTTCCTGATCTCAAATGTGAAGCTGTTTAGAATTGATTTAGGGAATGCACTTTTTGAGGGAATTTTTAGCAAATACACTGCCATATGTTTTAGCATAAGTTATAGATCAGGCAAGAACAGAATTGAATAGAAGTAGCTGGAAGTGAAAATGAGCTGAAAATTCATAGATACTTTGTAACTTGGGATGAGATTCTTAAACACGCCTTAGAGCCAACATTGCCAAAGGGATTAAGGTGCATAAATATCTCTTACAGATCTGGGAACTTGATGGTTGTAAAAGTACAGTGAGATTCTTGGTCCTAAGTCCTACAGGCAGTATTTTCTCCTGTGGTATTTTTCTGCCCCATATGGGCAGATAAGTCTGTGCATTTTATAGTACTTCTCTTAAGTCTTCTTGCTAATGTTTTAGCTTTTATCAGTAGGGGCTTTCATTTTGAGTTAGCTGTTGATTTATAGGATAATGCCTGAAGTTTACCACCTTCAAAGCTTTGGAATAGCTCTCATAAAAGGGTTGGATCCTTTCCATCTGCAGTTGGGAAGCAGTGGATACAGCCAGTGGAGCCTGCTGCCACTTCCCTTTAGAACAGGATCTTTGCCTGTTCTAAATGATCCTCCATCATTGTTTGGTCCCTCCATAATAATTTTCTCCTTTAACATATGATGAATTGGTGGGTTTGCAATGGGTTTATATATGAGATGCAAGAACATTATCGTAGCGTGCCCAGGACTCGAAGGTTAGAAAAGGGTGGAAACAGAGTTGCTCATGTAACCTTTATTTGTTATCTGTTGTGTGTATGGTTGGAGACTGTAGGCAAGCCCATGTGGCTTATATTGTAAGATACATAACTGATGCATGACAAAAGGTATATGAAGGAGTCTTCTCCTTCCAAGACCGTAAATGGATGCCATCGCTGTCTCCTTGGGTTGATGGATGAAATCTGTTTCAGCAAATCTGCATTCAAGCTAGGCAACCACAATTCCTTTGTAGTTGATGGAAAGAAATGGGTCGTTTATGATCTGGTTCATCTTGGCATGAACGAAATGCCCATGCTAGGTGAGAACATCATGTAGCTGAGCTAGAGAAGTCAATGCTGCAGGATGTTGTGAATATTATTTGAGGGGCAGCAACTGATTTCTCGGGATAGATCCCAGCTTTAGCTGTGTTCCAGTAAAGGTGCAGTTTTGTCTCATTTGAAAACCTACTGTGTTTCTCCTCTGACTATGAAGAGAGTTCAGGGTAATTTCTCCAGATGTAGACCTCTAAAATTGAGGTAAATCCTGTCCCTCAGGTGATGTTGGGCAGGATTAACCGAAATGCCAGTCACTGACTTTGTCACCTTTGTGTTACTTTATTCTAGCTTTAGTGCAAAGTGGCTTAGACTACTTTTATGTAGAACACATATATTGTTAGTAGAAAAACATATTGAAGAAAGATGTGTTCCCCCCCCTCCTTTGCTGTAAATCACTAAAACTAGCCTCAGTGTGCTTTTCCATTGCTATCTCCCTGCCAACGCAGGAAGTGTGTCAGGCTTCGGTTATGTGTAACACATGTTAACAAGAGCTGGGTTTAGAGAGCGGCAGAATTTCTTAAACTTTAAGCACTCATGTAAGTAATGTTTTTTAGTTTTGCTTTTAAGGGACTTTCCAGTTGGTGAATGATGCTAGCTTGGAAGCACTAAATCATGAAAAAAACCCCTCTGCCTAAGCACCTCCAGGGTAGTTGAAGACTCTCTGCTCTGCCAGTCGACTCCATCCCTTGCTTAATGTACACGGGGATAAGTATTCCTGTTTTGGACTGGCCCTGGACTCTTCGTATTGGGACTGCCTGTAAGAAGACTAGTTCACAGCAAATGCAAAGGTGTCTTCTGTGGTGTGAGCTTTCCTTTCCAGTGCACTGGACTGTGACTGCTATTAAATTACAGACCATATTGCACAAACCACCAGATGGTGAAGATAATTGACCTGTGGTCACAAAAGACTTGGCTAGATGTGAACTGGTGATACAGCAGTGAAATTAAATAAACAATTCACCTTTTCACTGTTGCTGTGTGAAGACTTGACCATAAGTGTTTCTCTGCATCGTCACTTTGGGCTCAGATATATTCTCACACAGAGGTGCACCTCACTTTTTTGTGGGTGTACAGGAGTAGAAGCTATGCAGACAGAAGCAGTCCTTACCTAATCTGCATGTAGTATTTCCACAGGCCCCTTTGTACATAGGGATGAAATTGGAGCCAAATCCAAGAACAGGCGATGCTTTACATTAAGTCCCTCTACTTGATATCTTTGATAAAGAGCAGCAGAGGAGAAGTAAGAAAATCTTCTGGGGAAAAAGTTTTTAACTATCTCAAAATTCTGATTTTGGCTGTACGAATTGCGTGTGTGCGTCTGTGGGAAACGGGATTCCTTTCTTCTTTGGAGAATTAAGCGTTCAATGAATAAAAGCACAAAGGACTGGTTCTGGAGAGTGAATGATGCTCTTGTCCATAAGCGTGGTCATTCCAGGACAGCCCCATGAGGACTGGAATTTAACCCCTGCTGTTGCCATGTTTCTCTAGGACTCCACTTTCCATGACTGTAAACGCTATATATTTCATGAGAATTACAATCTTTTTCTATTTAAACTCTCTTAAGAGATGGAAAAATCTTGGTCCCCTCCCTGCACCTCTCCCCAGTAAGTCCTTTTCTGCACCTCCCCCTTTAAAGGAAACAAAACCACAGAGTAGCCAACCTCTGGGTTGCAAAATATTGATTTCATGCAAATTAGATGGGGGGGAAAAGCCAGATGCAGTCAGTTTTCTGTCTCCTTTGCCTGGAAATAACACTCCCTAAGCGCTCATCTTGTTAGAAGAGAGCAAAGACAGCAAGCGTTGCTAATTTTTCTTATATAGAGGTACCTGAATGTTTGAGTGTGAAGTAATGCACAGTGAAAAAAAATCTCTGGAAGCGTTTATGATTACCGTTTATTAGGAATGGAAAACTAAGGAGAATGGCCTTCATATGTTCCTCAATAATATTTTCAGCTCTTTCTAATCAACTGCTGTGTTTCTCCTAGCTACAAAGTGCAAGAATTCTCCTTTTGCTGAGTAAAACTGGGTAAGAGGTGGCTTTTTTCCTACTTTTTTTTTTCCCCCCTATAGTTATAGTTTTGTAAATTGGAAGCACAAATCAGGCAGGAATGAACAGGCGTGGTATTTAAAAGGAGCATGTGGATTTGTGACTGCATGCAGTACCTGCCAAGATTTGATTTTCTGTAAATGTTTTTGCACTGAATTGAAACATTTTTGTTCCCTTCTGTATGATTGTTTACTAATTGTAAATAGATAATTACTTTTATCTTGAATCCTTATCTTATCTATCACTAAACTCCAAAGTGTAATTCTTGGTAACAGTTTTCTGTGACTTATTTTAGTGGGTAGAATTTATAATAGTCTCTTTGGTCCGAGTGTTTTTCTTTTACTTAAGACTGATCATATAAACTTCACTCATCTAGTTTAATGCTTTCCTTGAAAATTTTAATCTATTTCCCCTTGCAAGTTGTTTGCTAAACAAAATTTAGTAAAAATAAAGAAAGGATAGAGTCAGGCTAATGTGCTGTCTAAAGTTTTTGAGCAGCCAGTGGAGAACAGAGCCGTTGTCGTTTGAGACGTATGTGGAACCTTTGGCACTGAAGAAGGTTCTGTATTAAAAAATGTTGGACTTGTCTGAATAGATAATATCTGCAACCTTCTGTGCCAGGGAGCGTTGCTGTGTTGAGTCAATGACGACTTTCTGTCAGAGCCTAATGAGAGAATTGTCTTGAGGCACCAAGCTGTACAAACTTGAAGAGACAAGCCAGCCCTGGCTGAACGAGTGGCCCTCAACAATGTGTTCCTTTGAGCGTCTAAGCCTTGCCTTGTACTTGTGCAGCGAGGGCCCAGGAGATTCACCAGCCCGGAGAGGCTGTCCTTCATCACTGGACACTCGGCTCTGAGTGGGGAAGTACATCGTGGAAAAAAACCAAAGCGGAAAACCCCAGGGAAACACTGCATGGTGGCTGCTTCCTCCTGCAGAGGAGTCCCTTCATATTACCCTAGTGACTGTATTATTATTTTTTTTAAATACAGTAATCTTCAGCCTCTTTTTAAAGATTTTCAGGACAGTGGTAAGTAAGCAACTGATTTCTCAAGCCTTTTTATACTGTCTCAAAATATATATGGTAGGTAGAGATCACAGTTCATGATTTGGTTTTTTTTCAGTTGTGTCAGGAAAGCATAGTTAAAAGGCAATTGCAGTGTACACTGTATGTGATTGTTGCCTTTAGAGTAGTGTAATAGATGGTCTGTTGTCAGAACATTTTCTTTAACTTAACTGTCTCTTGTGTTGTTTTTTAACCAAGCTATGAAGCCTTCTTTGGCTGAGTGCTCTCTTGGGAGCTGAATGGGCTTGGTATGGTCTTTGGACAGTATATTTGATTCTGAAGTGATCCATATGTCCATGGTGTTTTGTCTTTTCCCCTTTGAACTTCTAATATATGGCAAGAATAAGACACAAAGCGTTTCCCTGCAATTAATATCTTGCTGGTCTGAATGCCTCTAACATAGTTTTTCAACCCATCTGGTCATAATCCTCAGAAAAGTCCCCATGTCTCAGTCATGCAGAGATACTGCTGTTCTTTCCCGTGGTCATTCTGCTGTGGTATTCTTAATGATTCAGAAATAATCGACAAAGTCCATTTATTTGCTCTATTTATGTCTTACTGCATTTCCAGTAGGATAGATAGCACATAAATCTTCTCAAAGTACACTTGAAATAGCCATAAATGACAGCTGAAAATCTCTCCAAAGTAGTACTGTGTTTGCAGCCTACAGGAGGATTTATCACGTAAGCACGGCTACTGTTTTGCGGTCCTTCTAATTGAGCATTGAGAAGACAGAAGCATCTTAGCAGCAAAATGCTCCCTTTTTCCTGTTGTAAGAAATGTTTCATTTAGAGAAGAAACCAATGCATCTATGAAAAATTATCCTAAATAAGTGTACAGGTCTTGATTCTGCACATATTCATGTCAGTTCTGCAGCTCTGTCAACATCAGCTGGACGGTATTAGACCTCCACGGTTTGTTTGTTTTTTGTGTTTTTTTAAGTGAAT